TCGCGATCCACGGCGTACTGGGCGCCGCAGAGCTCGTCGCACTCGCCGCAGTTCATGTTGCAGCAGCCCTTGTGGCCGGCGAGGACGGCGCCGCAGCGGCAGCGACCCGTCGCACAGTCGCATATTTTGGCGAGGTGCTCCTCGCAGCGTTTCGCCTTGGCCGCGGCGTGCGCCGACGCGGCCGCGGCGGCGAGGAGCATCCAGCGCATCGCGCCGCCCGAGATGGGCTGCCGCGCGATGGGCTGCGTGCCCGAGATGGGCTGCCGCGCGATGCCCATCGATCACGAGGGCTACGTCGCGAAAAACGACAGAGCCGACACGTTGAAGGCGTCGCTGATCGGCGTCGCCGCAGCCCGAGTGCCCACCGTCGGCGCCGCGAACCCGTGCTCTCGAACCCACACAGCACCCCAAATCCCGCTCGCGATGCTCCAGCGGTCGTGGTGGAAGGCGTCGCCGTCGTCGGCGTGGGCCAGGGAGGGCGCGAAGGAGGCCGAGGGCTCGCCGAGCGTCTGGGCCCTGGACCGGCGCAAGGACCCGCTCTGCGGCCGGGCTTTGAGCCACTGGGCGGAGTACGGCCAGGAGGGCGGCGTGCAGACCTGCGGCAACTCGGCGGCCCTGCTCGAGGAGCACTTCCGCGTCAACGGCGGCGCGGTGCGCACGCGGTTCCCGCCCGAGCCCAACGGCTACCTCCACATCGGCCACGCCAAGTCGATGAACATGAACTTCAGCCTCGCCTTCGACCGCCTCGCGGCGAGCGGCGCGGCCGTGCCCACACGCGAGACCATCTTCCGCTACGACGACACGAACCCCGAGGCCGAGTCGAAGGAGTTCGTCGACTCGCTCGCGCGCGACGTCGCGTGGATGGGCTGGAAACCCGCGCGCGTCACGCACACGTCCGAGTACTTCGGCGTCTTCTACGAGATGGCCCTGGAGCTCATCAAGGGCGGCAAGGCCTACGTCTGCCACCAGTCGTCGTCGGAGATCGAGGCGTGCCGCAAGGTCGCGAAGGCGCGGTCGTCGCTGCGGAAGCACGAGGCCGACGGCGCCGCGGCGCCGGCGAGCGTCGTCGCCGAGGCGCGCCTCGACGCGCCCGACGCCCACGAGTCGCCCTACCGGTCCCGGAGCGCCGCGGAGAACCTGGCGCTCTTCGAGCGCATGCGGAGCGGCGTCGCCGCCGAGGGCGAGTGCACGCTGCGGCTCAAGATGCAGACGGCGGAGAACGCGTCCAACTACAACATGTTCGACCAGGTCGCCTACCGCATCAAGCACCACCCCCACCCCTGCGCGGGCGACGCCTGGTGCATCTACCCGACCTACGACTACACGCACTGCGTCGTCGACGCGCTCGAGCACGTCGACTACTCGATCTGCACGCTCGAGTTCGAGACGCGGCGCGAGTCCTACTACTGGGTCCTCGACGCGTTGGATCTGTACCGGCCCAAGGTCTTCGAGATGTCGCGGCTCAACATCTCCTACACCGTGCTCTCGAAGCGCAAGCTCACGAAGCTCGTGACGTCGGGGAAGGTCGCGGGCTGGGACGACCCGCGCATGCCGACGATCTCGGGCCTGCGGCGCCGGGGCTACAGCGCGAGCGCCATCAACGCCTTCTGCCGCGACGTCGGCGTGACGCGCAACGAGAACTTCATCGAGTACGGCCGGCTCCAGCATTTCGCGCGCCTCGACCTCGAGGACCGCGCGCCGCGGCGCATGGCCGTCGCGGACCCGCTGGAGCTCCTCCTCGAGGGCGACGACGCCGCCTTCGCCAAGACCTACGACGCGCCGAACCACCCGTCCAAGCCCGAGTTCGGCGTTCGGCCGCTCACGCTCGCGCGAAGAGTCTTTCTCGACCGCTCGGACTTTCGGGAGGTCGACGCGCCCGACTTCTTCGGGCTGGCGCCGGGCAAGTGGGTCCGCCTGCGCTACTGCGTCACCATCAAATGCGTGGCCGTCGAGAAGGACGGCGACGACGTCGCGCGCGTCAAATGCGTCGTCGGCGACGCGCCCGCGGACCCCAAGGGCAAGCTCCACTGGGTCTCCGAGGCCGACGCGGCGCCCTGCGAGCTGCGCGACTACGACCACCTCTTTTCCGTGGGCAAGGTCGACGACGACACCTGGGAGGCCCAGCTCGCGCCGGACTCGCTCGTCGTCCACAAACGCGCGCTCGTCGACGCGTCCGTCGGCGCGCGGCCGGCCGACGGCGCGCCCTTCCAGTTCGAGCGCCTCGGCTTCTACGCCGTCGACGACGACGCCAAGGCCGGCGCCCTCGTCTTCAACCGCACGGTGTCGCTCAAGAGCGGCAACGCGGCCGTCAAGGTCGCGGGCGCGAGCCGCAAGGACGAGCAGGCCGCGCAGCTCGCGAAGAAGGAGGCGATGAAGTCCGTGGACCCCAAGGACATGTTCAAGACCGACGACATGAAGCTGCTCTACTCCGCCTGGGACGGCGACGGCGTCCCGACGCACGGCGCGGACGGCGAGCCCCTCTCGAAGAGCGCGTCCAAGAAGCTCAAGAAGGACCAGGCGAAGCAGGCGAAGCTCTTCGCCAAGAAGTAACGCCCCTTAGGAGAAGTCGCGGTCAGGGAAGAGCGTCGGCGCGACGCAGGTCCAGACGTAGAGTAATCCGGCAGTCCATTGTGCAGCCGCTTGCATCCACATGGCGACCTGGCCCGACGACGGCGACGCCGCGGAGCCCGACTTCGTGATGGAGCCCCAATTCGTGAGCACCATGGCGATGTTGCAGGCCATGAGCGCCATGACGAGGTTGAAGGACGCGACCTCCGCGGGCGTCTTCGGTGGCCCGTCCGGCTCGTCCGGCGGCGCCGCGGGCCGCTCCTCGTCGCCGGCGGCGTCGTTGGACCCGTAGGACTTGTCCGCGGGCGCCGCCGACCCCTCGAGCTGGCCCGTGAGGATCTTGTTCATCATGGCGCCGCCGGGCCCGTTGTCCGACGCCTTGCCCGCGTCGCCGCGGCCGCCGCCGAGGTACTGCACGTTGTTCGACGCCGAGTAGATCGTGTAGACGAGCGCCGCGATCGTGAACGCGAGGCCGACCACAATCGACAGCCAGTCCGACGTGTTCGAGTAGAAGGGGTTGCAGGACGGCACGGGGTTCGCCGTCAGCGCCGACGCGGCGAGGTAGACGAGGTACGCGGACACCGTCGCGCTCGTGAGCAGGTTCGAGTCCTTGGAGATGAAGAGCTGGCACGCCGTCGCGACGACGCAGAGCGCGACGGTCAACCCCAAAATCGTGTCCGGCGACGTGCAGTCCGTGCCAAAGTAGGCGAAGAGGAGGCCGACGCCCACGACGGCCACGAGGAACAGCGCGGCGGCCGCCGCGATCAGCGCGACGAGCGGCGACGGCATGCCGCACCACTCGCTCACCTCGCCCGAGTCCGCGAGCGTCACGAGCGAGTCGTTCATGTAGTAGGCCAGGTCGATCAACAGCACCTGCTGGAGCACGACGAAGACGAAGCCGCCGACGCGCGCGACCCAGAGGTAGCCGTGGTCGTCGAAGACCTCGTTCGGGACGAAGACGGACACGACGAGCAGCACGACCCAGCCCAGGAACTTGGACCCCCAGTAGCTATCGTGGAAGGCCGGGGACGCGTAGGTGCCCGCGGCCATGGCCGCGAAGAAGAGGCACGTGCAGAGCGACACGCGGTAGACCGCCGCCGCGCCCTTGCAGCCCGCGTCGTCGTCGTCGCAGGTCCAGGCGTAAAAGTCCATGTACTTGGCCACGTAGTACTGCATGAGCAGGCTCAACGCCATGGCCAGCACCATGACCCACATGGACCCCGTGCGCCCCGCGTCGGGGTTCGCCGCCTTCTTGCCATCGTCGCCGGACGACGGGCAGCAGGCGCAGAGCCCGCGCCCGAGGCAGCAGGCGCCCTCGCAGGCGCAGCAGGCGAGCGACAGGCAGCAGCCCATCGGGGTCGAGCGTCCGTTTCACGGGGTGGCTCCTGCGCGCGAGCAACAGGCGAGGAGCGGTGCTCCCAGGTCGCCGCGCAATGTGCCGCAAAATGCGGCTTCTCGGACCTCGCCGATCTTTGTGCTAAAGATGCTGCCGCGCCGGGCAGCCCTCGCTTTGACGGCTAGCTACCGCCCGGCATTCGAATTGCTGCGTGCGGGCAGCGTGCGGGCGGCGACGCGGGCGGCCGCGCTTCGGTGTCGGGCTCGCGCCGGGGGCTGCCACCGCCGCGCGGCGCGGCCGAGCGCTTTTTTTTTTTTCCCGCATCGCGTGAGGCGCCGCGACCATGTTCATCTATTTGAGCAAGAGCGCGTCCCGCGGCGTCCGCCGCGCGCCGCCCCTCCCCCCCCGTCGCCCGACCGCGTCCCCCCCGACCGCAGAGATCGCCATCCCCAACGGCGTCGTGCTGCACTCGCTGGCCTGGAACCCGGACCACGGGTGGATCGCGTCCGGAGGAGACGACGGCTTGCTCAAGGTCCTGAAGCTCGACTCGCCGCGCGACGTGGGCAAGGCGCCCGGCGGGTCCGTGCCGAGCAACCTGAGCATGAACCAGACGCTGGAGGGCCACCACGGCTCCGTCATGTGCGTGACCTGGAACGCGAACTACCGGAAGCTCACGACGTCGGACCAGAATGGGCTCATCATCGTCTGGATGCTCCACAAGGGCGTCTGGTTCGAGGAGATGATCAACAACCGGAACAAGAGCGTCGTGCGGGCCATGAAGTGGACGGCGGACGGCCAGAAGATCTGCATCGTCTACGAGGACGGCGCGGTCATCGTCGGGTCCGTCGACGGCAACCGGCTCTGGGGCAAGGACCTCACGTGCGGGCTGACGAACGTGGAGTGGAGCCCCGACGCGAACTACATTTTGTTCGTGACGTCGGACAGCGAGCTCCACATGTACGATTTGATGGGGTCGAAGGTGAAGACGATCCCGACGGGCGGCGACGGCGGCGGCAAGCGGAGTCGCGACGGCTCCGCGACGATCATCGGCGTCCACTGGTACGACGGCATGGAGGGCTACACGGACCCGAACGCGCCGACGCTCGCCGTCGCCTTCGGGAACGGGCGCGTCCAGCTCATGCGCGGCTCCGAGGACGCGGAGCCCGTCGTCGTCGAGTCGGACCTGCGGCTCCGCCAGTGCAAGTGGAACACGCGGGGCACGGTGCTCGCGCTGGCGGGCACGCTCGCGCCGTCGGGCAGCGACCAGCGCGAGGACAGCGTCGTCCAGTTCTTCTCGCCCTACGGGAAGAAGCTCCGGTCGCTCAAGGTGCCCGGCGGCGGCATCAACGCGCTGTCCTGGGAGGGCGGCGGCCTGCGCATCGCGCTGGCCGTCGACGCCTACATCTACTTCGCGAACATCCGGCCGGACTACAAGTGGGGCTACTTCGCGGGCGACACGGTCGTCGTCGCGTACTCGCCGCCCGAGCGGAGCGGCACCGCCGTCGTCTTCTGGGACACGAAGACGAACGAGAAGGTCAAGAAGCGCGCCAACGGCCTGCGGGCCATCAAGGCCGTGGGCGAGCACTGCATGATGGTCTGCGAGGAGCGGAGCCCCGCCGACGAGACGCAGGTGTCCTACCGCGTGTCGCTGCGGAACGCGATCGGCGCGCCCGTCGAGTCCGGGGCAGCACAAGGGTGATTCAACGTCGCTTCAACGTGAGTGTTCCGCGAGCGCGCGTTTCGGAAAACGCGTCCACGCTTCGAGACCGTTCCGAGAGACGATCGCTCGTCCAAGAATCAGCCGAAACGAGCGGAAAATGACCGAGAGAGGAGCCTTTGAAGTTGGGAATTTCGCACCCTTTTGCTGCCCAGGTCGAGTCGCGGCTGAGCCCCGTGGAGCCCGTCCACGCGGCGATGACGCACCACTACGCCATCGTCGCCTCGGACCGCCACGTCTACGTCTGGCAGTTCGCGAAGCTCCAGGCGAAGCTCGCGGGCAAGGCCAAGGCCAAGGGCGAGGCCGCGGCCGACCTCATCTCGCTCCGCCAGTCGACGGGCCGCGAGCGCGTGCTCGACGTCGCCGCGCCGTCGGCCGACGCCGTCGTCATGGTCGAGCAGTTCAAGCCGCCCCCGCGCGACCGGGACGGGCCCGGCGACGGCGTCTCCGACCCCATCGCGGCCGTCGCCGCGAGCGACCGGCTGCTATTGGTCGCGCGCGCGTCCGGCGACATCTTCCAGTACTCGCTGCCCCACGTGTCCCTCGAGCGCAAGCACGGCGTGTCGTCCGTGCCCTGGATCCTGTCGCTCAACTGCGCGTCGTCGAAGCTCGCCATCATCGACACGCACGGGCGCCTCGCGGGGCGGGGAAAGAAATGCCCAACTTCAAAGGCTCCGCTCTCGGCCGTGTTCCGCTCGTTTCGGCTGATGTTTGGACGAGCGATCATCTCTCGGAACGGTCTCGACGCGTGGATGCTTTTTCCCGGAACGCGCGCGCGCGGCACGCTCACGTCGAAGCGACGTCGCATCACTCGTTTCCCGCCCAGGCGCCTCGGCATCATGGACCTCGCGAAGAAGCGCGAGGCGAGCGCGGACAAGGCCGGCGGCGAGGCCAAGGGCGGCGACGACGACGGCGAGGGCAAGCGCGACGAGGGGGGTCGCGGCGGCGGCGAGGCCGGCGAGCTGCTCAACTTCGAGCGCAAGGACTGCTGGGACGTCGTCTGGGCCGAGGACGACCCGGACCTGTTCGTGGCCATGGAGAAGACGCGGCTCTGCGTCTACGGCGCCGATTTGGAGCCCGAGGAGCCCATCGTCTGCAGCGGCTACGTCGCGTCCTTCAAGTCGCTCAAGGTCACGTCCGTCGTCCTCGAGCACGTCGCGCAGAACCCGGAGAAGGTGACGCGCGACGTCGTCGTCGTCAACGAGACGAGTTCGCTCCGCGAGGTGCGCGACGTGCTGCAGCAGTCCGGGTCCGCCGAGGGCTACATGTGCGTCGAGCAGCGGCCCCACCCGCACCTCTGGCGGTTCCTCGCGGAGTCGGCGCTCGAGGCGCTCGACCTCACGTACGCGGACAAGGCGTTCGTGCGCTGCCACGACTACCAGGGCATCCAGTTCGTCAAGCGGCTGCGGGGCCTGAGCGACCGCATGAAGCAGCGCGCGGAGGTCGCGGCCTTCTTCGGCCGCTTCGACGAGGCGGAGCAGATCTACCGCGAGATCGACCGCAAGGACCTCGCGATCGAGCTGCGCGTGCGTTTGGGCGACTGGGCGCGCGTGTCCCACCTCGTCCAGAGCGGCGGCGGCGACGACAAGCAGCTCGCGTCGGCCTACTGCAAGCTCGGCGACCACTACGCGCTGCGGAGTTTGTGGGACAAGGCGCGCGAGTTCTTCGAGCTCGCCAAGCGCCAGGCAGGGCAGGAAATGGGTGATTCAACGTCGCTTCAACGTGAGTGTTCCGCGAGCGCGCGTTCCGGAAAAAGCACCCACGCTTCGAGAGCGCTCCGAGAGATGATCGCTCGTCCAAAAATCAGCCGAAACGAGTGGAAACGACCGAGAGAGGAGCCTTTGAAGTTGGGAATTTCGCACCCTTTTCCTGCCCAGGCGCCAGGACAAGATGGCCGAGTGCTACTACCGCCTCGGCGACTTTGCGGCGCTCGAGGCGCTGGCGGGCGCCGTGCCCCAGGGCGCGCCGCTCCTCCTGGATTTAGGCCGCAAGTTCGAGTCCGTGGGCCTCCACGCGCCCGCGGTCGAGGCCTACCTCCGCGCGGGCGAACCCAAGGCCGCGATCGACTGCTGCGTGCTCCTGAACCAGTGGGAGAAGGCCGTGGAGATCGCCGAGGAGTTCGGCTTCCAGCAGATCGAGGGGCTGCTGGCCAAGTACGCGGCCGCTTTGTTGCAGCGCGGCGACCGGCTTTTGGCCGTCGAGCTCTCGCCAGGGCAGGACAAGAGAGCGAAATTCCCAACTTCAAAGGCTCCGCTCTCGGCCGTGTTCCACTCGTTTCGGCTGATTTTTGGACGAGCGATCATCTCTTGGAACGGTCTCGAAGCGTGGATGCTTTTCCTGGAACGCGCGCGCGCGGGACACTCACGTTGAAGCGACGTTGAATCTCTCTCGTCCCGCCCAGGCTCTACCGGAAGGCGAACAAGGCGACGGACGCGGCGAAGCTGCTGGCGGCCATCGCCGAGGACGTCGGCGTCCAGCAGGCGAACCCGCTGCGCGCGAAGAAGCTCCACGTGCTCGCCGCCCTCGAGGTCGAGCGCTACCGGAAGAAGACGCTGGACCTCACCGCGACGCGCGGCGGCGACATCGCCCAGACGACGGCGGCGACGCTCGACACGCTCATGACGCACGACCAGGAGAGCGGCGCGTCCGGCGCCAAGGTGCTGGACAACGCCTGGCGCGGCGCGGCGGCCTACCACTACTACGTCCTCGCCCACAAGCAGCTCTACGCGGGGTCCATGGACGCGGCGACGAAGACGTCGATCCGCCTCGCCGAGTACGAGGACGTGCTCCCGCGCCGCGACATCTACTCCATCGTCGCCCTCGCGGCCTACCACAGCGGCGACTACGACGTCTGCTCCCGGGCCTTCATCAAGCTCGAGACTTTGGACGACCTCGCCGAGGACGAGCAGGACGAGATCCAGCGCCTCGCGCTCGCGATCTTCTCCAAGAAGCCGCCGGGCGAGCACTCGCCGCTCGCGTCCTGCTACATCGCCTGCCTCGAGACGGGCACGCCCTACCACGCCTGCACGAAGACGGGCCGCGCCGTCCTCGACGGCCGCACGCTCCAGTGCACGACGTGCCGGCACCACGCGTTCGAGGCGGAGCTGAGCCGCGACGACAACCACTGCCCCCTCTGCCACACGGTCTACCCCGCCCAGTACCGCGTCGCCTGAGGCGGGGCGGTTGCACCCCCGTTTTAAACGACTTACTTCGCCCCGCCGTCCCAGACGCTCGGGCAGTCGCGGTCCTCCTTGAGCGTGAATTTGGCCTGCCCGAGCTTCTCCTTCCGCCGGTTCTTCGCGCGCGTCGTCTCGTTCTCGGGCTTCCGCGCGCTCTTGACGAACTTGGCGCCGCCGGAGGCGTCGGCGGCCGGGAGGGCCGCGGCCGCGGCCTCGGCCTCGCGCCGCCGCGCCGCCGCCGCCTCCGCGGCCTCCGCCTCGGCGACCTCGTCCGCCGCCGCGCGCGCCGCCTCGGCGACCGCCGCCTCCGACGCCTCGCGCTCCGCGGCCGCGGCCTCGAGCGACGTGTCCGACGTCTTCAGCAGCGACACGTCGATCTCCTTCCTGCGCTTCTTCGGCGCCGGCGCGGCGTCGGGGTTGAACGCGAAGAGGTCCTCGTCGTCGTCGTCCGAGTAGCCGTCGCTCATCTTTTTGCAGCGCGACGCGTGCGGCGGGCGCGCCGGCGTGCAGATGGCAGTTTCGGCAGCTACTGGCACGAGCTATGGATGGCTCTCTGTCGACGCGCGCGCTGGTGGACGCTCCCAGTCCCTCGTGGCCGACGGCGTCCCCGGTCGCGGCCCGCACGCACAAGTTTTGCCGCAGCTTTGTGTGCCGTGCAATTGAACAGATATTGAACGTGTTAGCAGCCCTAGACGAGCGCGAATGCTCCGGCGGCCACCTCTAGCTGTTAACCCCTCCTAGCCTAGCAGGTGTGCTAAAGCAGCCCCCATGGACGAGCGCGAATGCTCCGGCGGCCACCAGAGCACGAGCTTGATGCGCGGCGCGCGCTACAATCAAATAGACCTCGTAGTCACCGCTCTGGAGTGCACGGCCACGAACCTGGACGCTGTGGGCGCAGACGGCCGCACCGCATTGATGATCGCTTGCGAGGCCGGCCATCTCGAAGTGGCCAAGGCGATGGCGAACGCGGGCGCCGACATCGACGTGGAGGACGGCGCCGGCCGCACGGCGATCGACATCGCCGCGGGCGCGGGGCACGACCGCGTCGCGGCGATGCTGCGCGCCGAGGCGACGAAGCGGCGGGCGGCGTGGGACGCGATCGTCGGCGCGAGCGCGGGCGGCGACGACGCCGCGTCGCTCGAACAGATGTTGGCGGATCTGGCCGGGGGCGGCTCCGGCGCGCGGAGCGCGACGACGCGCGAAGCGCCGTTCTAGCACACAAGAGGAGTAAGCAGCGTCTAGCAAAACAAGGCGACCGCGCCGAGCGCGGCCGAAAGCAAAAAGGGCGCCGGCGACGCCGCGCCGTCGACGATGGGCGCGTCCTCGCCGTAGAGGTGGTGGACGCCGACGTTCGCGGCGCGGATGACGTCGGCGACGGTGCCCAGGTTGTCGAGCTTGTAGGCCAGGTTCTCGGAGATGTCCGGGTGCCCGTCGACCTCCGCGCACTTCTGGACGTGGAGGATGAGCCACTCGCACTCGGCCACGGGCGTCTCGTCCGAGTGCGGCGCGCACATGGCGTTGATCGCGTCGACGGCCGCGGCGTCGTCGCGCTCCAGCACCGCGAGCTCGTCGGCGTCGCAGGCGACGACCTCCTCGGCGAAGTCCGGCAGGCAGAAGCCGCAGCTCTCGTCGCAGTAGTGCGCGTAGGCGCACGCCGGGCAGAAGAGCTCCGCGCAGAAGTCGCGGTGGTCCATACCCGCGAGCCGGGCGCACGAGTACTCGTTGTCCGACGACGTGATGTCGTAGTCGAAGCAGTCGTAGCCTTCGTTGGGGTGTGTGACCGGGATGACCTCCGCGGGCTCGCCGGGCTCCAGCGTCCCCGTCCACGAATTTCCGTCGCAGCGGAGCGTCGACTGCAGCGGCCAGTAGCTCAAAGTCACCTATCAAGCACGACGGTGACGACTTTCCATCGTTTTCCCGGTAAAAATCTCTCGAAAATCGTCGCGGCCACGGGACGCCGAGCGTCACCCAGCACATCTCGTCCGTCGTCTCCACGCCGAAGCGCGTGCTCGACGACCGCGCGGACGCGTCCATGACGCACGTCGACTGGAGCACGTCGCCGTTCTTCAGGACGAGCCCCCGCTCCTCGAGGTTGCGGTCGTACTGGTCGTCGAAGAACCAGGCCCCGTCGTTGTGGATCGTCGTCCGCTCGCCGTCGCGCCAGAGCTCGGCGTACATCTCCGCGCCCAGGAGGTGCGCGTGGAAGTTCGCGGAGAAGAGGTTCACGTCGTCCGTCGCGCCCGTGATCTCGCAGGTCCGCGTGAGGAACCAGCGGCTCGCGCCCGCGGGGATCTGGAGCGCGTTCGAGTAGCTGAGGCGCTGGCCGATCACGGAGCCCGTCGCGGCCTCGCGCGCGCGCGTCGAGTAGTGGAGCCGGAAGCCGCTGCGGTCGACGACGTTGCGGATGTTGTTCCGGTTGTCGTAGTGGACCTGCATGGCGAAGGCCTTGAGGCCCGTGATGGACTTGGACGCCTGCTCCGGCGCGAGGTAGAAGAGGTCCCGCCCCGGCGCCCAGCCGCTCAGGGACCACTCGTCGCAGGACACGTAGTAGGCGTCGGTCTTGTGCGTCTCGCCGGGCGTGATGTCGTCCCAGGCGTCGGCGCAGCCGTTGAGGACATAATGATGCGTGAAGGCGGACTGGTCGATCAACGCTTCGAGGCCGACGAGGTAGCAGTCGTGCTCCGCGCAGCGCGCCGCGTCGTCGTCGGGCACGTTCCAGATGAACTCCACGTACTCCGTGCGCGCGCCCGAGAGCTCGTAGCCGTCGATGTGGAGCTCGTAGGAGTAGTTCGATTCGGTCGCGAGTTCGTCGTCCGTGAAGAGGTCCGCGCGGACCACGTCCGGGGCCGGAGCGAAGTCCGCGCAGTCGACGGCCGCGTTCGCCGCGGCGCCGGCGGCCGCGCTCCCGGGATGGCTCGCGTTCCACGCGTCCATGAAGGCGCGGTACGCGTCGTCGAGGGCGAGGCGGTTCGACGACCCGCCTACCAAGTGCGACGGGGTCGGATTTCTTCACATCTTCAGGCGAAATTCACGCGAAAAAACACTCCCGTCGCTCGACGCTGCGACCCGCCGACGCCCGTCTCCAGCAGGCAGCACGGATCTCCCAGCTCCTCGCCGTTCGTGTCGCCGTCCCCGTCGCTATCGAGGCCGCAGACGCTCTGCCACTCGAAGGTGTGGGCCACGAAGTCGACGCCGAAGGCGTTGAGCGCGCCCCCGCCGGCGCACGTCGAGTGGCCCAGCCCGTTGCAGCGCCAGGACCCCTGCAGCCCCAGGATGTCGTCCTCGGTCCAGGTGCAGCCCTCGGCGCCCTCGGGGCAGGGCACGCGCTCGCCGTTGGGGATCTTGTAGCGGAAGCTCGGGTAGGCCAAGGAGCCGCTTAGGACGCTCAGGAGGGCGACGAACGTCGGGGCCATCCCAGGGCTGGAATTGTGAGAGCAGCCCGGTTCAACAACGCATATGCGCACAATGGTGAAGTAACGTTGCCGCGCGCTCACTTATCCACCTCAGAGCTCAACATGGGCAGTGCGCCTCCTACGCGCGCCATGTCGCGCCTCCTCTGCATCGCAGCGTTCGCCGCGGCCTTGCAGCCGCAGCCGCGCGCGCCGGAGCCGCCGCGCATCGAGAAGACGGCCAACTACAAGGCCGCCGCCGAGGCCTCGGCGCGCCTCGCCGGCGAGCTCAAGGCGCCGCCGGCCTCGAGAACGCCGGAGCCGCCGCGCATCGAGAAGACGGCCAACTACAAGGCCGCCGCGGAGGCCTCGGCGCGCCTCGCCGGCGAGCTCAAGGCGCCGCCGGCCTCGAGAAAGACCGTCGCCGTCGTCGGCGGCGGCCTGAGCGGCCTCGCCTGCGGCAAGTACCTGAGCGACGCGGGCCACGAGGCCACGGTCTACGAGGCGCGCGACGTCCTCGGCGGCAAGGTGAGCGCGTGGCAGGACGACGACGGCGACTGGATCGAGACGGGGTTGCACGTCTTCTTCGGCGCGTACCCGAACGTGCTCAACCTCTTCAAGGAGTTGGACATTCGGGACCGGCTCCAGTGGAAGGCCCACCGCATGTCCTTCGCGATGCGCGAGCGGCCCGGCGAGTTCACGAGCTTCGAGTTCCCCGAAGGCGTGCCCGCGCCGCTGAACATGGCCGCGGCCATCCTGACGAACACGGAGATGCTGTCGCTCGTCGACAAGATCCGCATGGTCCCGGGCCTGCTGCCCATGCTCCTCGAGGGCCAGAGCTTCATCGACGAGCAGGACGAATTGAGCGTGCTCCAGTTCATGAAGAAGTACGGCATGCCCGACACGATCAACGAGGAGATCTTCATCGCCATGGGGAAGGCGCTCGACTTCATCGACCCGGACAAGCTGTCCATGACCGTCGTGCTGACGGCGATGAACCGCTTCATCAACGAGGCCGACGGCTCGCAGACCGCGTTCCTCGACGGCAACCAGCCCGAGCGCGTGTGCGCGCCCATGGCGGACCGCATCCGGGACGCGGGGGGCGACGTGGAAACGGACGCGCCCCTCGCGGAGATCCGCGTGAACGACGACGGCGGCGTCGCGGCCCTCGTGCTCAAGGACGGCCGCGAGGTCGTCGCCGACGAGTACGTGCTGGCCATGCCCGTGGACGTGACGAAGCGCCTCATCCCCGAGGCCTGGTCGACGATGCCCTTCTTCCGCCAGCTCAACGAGCTCGAGGGCATCCCCGTCATCAACGTCCAGCTCTGGTTCGACGCGAAGTTCGACTCGCTCGACGGTTTGGCGTTCTCGCGGTCGCCGCTGCTCAGCGTCTACGCGGACATGTCGCGGTCCTGCGCCGAGTACGCCGACGACGACCGGTCCATGCTCGAGCTCGTCTTCGCGCCCTGCGCGCCCGAGGCCGGCTCGCCCGTGAACTGGCTCGCGAAGCCCGACGACGACGTCGTCGCGGCGACGCTCGACGAGCTGAAACAGCTCTTCCCGGCGGACATGGCGGACGCGAAGCTTCTCAAGTCGGCCGTCGTCCGCACGCCGCGGTCCGTCTACGCGGCGATCCCCGGCCGCAACAAGTACCGGCCGTCGCAGAGGACGCCGATCCCGAACCTCACGCTCGCGGGCTGCTACACGTCCCAGAAGTTTTTGGGTTCCATGGAGGGCGCGGTCCTCGCGGGCAAGCTCGCGGCGGAGGTCGTCGCCGCGCGCGCCGTCGGCGCCGCCGCGCCGGGCCTCAAGGACGTCCAGCGCACCGTCGTCGCCGCGGCCGCGGACGCGGCGCCGCGGCGCCCGACGGGCTGCGGCAAGGGCGACTCGGCGATCGCCTACGGCGGCGGCGCGGTCCTCGCGGCGCGCGGGTCTTAACGGCTATCGATCGAGCCTAGGGCCCTACCTAGGGCCTGGCCTGGAGTCGCTTACTGCTAGCCCGGGCCTAGCCGAGACCCACGGGGGAACCGGACTCTCGCTGGGAGGAGCGCCTAGGCGCGTCGTGTTCGGAAGGCCTCGGGGAGGGACCCCAGAGCGCGCTGGCCAACATCATGCACTGCAAGTTGCACTGCAACAAGCTTCGCCCTCCTGAAGTCCGAAGCATGGACTCGCAGCCTCAGGAGAATTTTGCCAGCAGCTTGGGCGACGTGCCCCTGGGCGACGACGTGCCCCCGGGCGACGACGCGGCCATGGACGACGAGGCCCTGGGCGACGTGTCCCTCGACGACGAGGCCGCTGCGCCCGCGGAGGTCGACTCGCTGTCGGCGGAGCTCGACGCGCTCCTCGCCGGCGGAAGCGACGCCGCGCCCGCGCCTCCACCGGACGATCCGCCGCCCGCCGCGCCGGAGCCGGCGCCCGCGCCGCCGGCCGCGCCGGAGGACCCGCCGCCGCCGCCCGCGTCGCCGCCGGCGTGCGACGCGGCGGACGTCTGGACCGAAACGGGCCGGTCGGCGTGGGTCGCCTTCGGCGTCGCGGGCGTCTACGTGAGCAAGGGCGGCGGCGCCAAGGGCCACCTCGCGTCGGCGCTCCAGCCCTTCGCGCGGCGCCTCGAGGTCCGCGACGTGCGGGTCCGGCTGACGGCGTCGGAGCCGTTCCGGAGGGGGTCCGAGCCGCCGGACGTCGACGACTCGCACCCGCTCACGGGCTGGTCCTCGGAGCCCCTCGAGGCGCCGGCCCTCGACGAGGGGCCCCGGGGCGCGGCGCTGCGCTGCGGCTTCGCCGTGCCCGCGCGGTGCGTCGGCGACGGCCGCGGCGACCGGCTGCTGCGGCTGAGCGTCGTCGCCAAGGTGCTGGGCGACGACCTCGGCGCGTCGTCGGAGCCGCGCGTCCTGGGCGTGGCGACGTTCTCGCTGCGGTCCCTCGTCGAGGCCGAGGGCCCCGTCGCGCGGCCCCTCGCGCCCGGCGCGGGCGCGGAAGCCGTCGCGTTCCCGCTCGCGGGCGGCGACGACGGCGCGCGGCGCGCGTGCCGGGCCGTCGGCGACGCCGCCTCCGACGCGCTCCTGCAGCCCTTCGCCTTCTTCCCGAGGAGCTTCGCCGGGGCGCCGCCGATCGTCGGCGCCGAGGGCGCCGCGGAGCCGAGCGGCGTCCACGCGGTCGTAGCGGACGCGTTGCAGCCCGTCGCCGACGGCATGCTCGAGGCGGCCGCGGCGTGGATGCGCGAGGCGGAGCGCGCGCGCGGCGACCAGGCCCTCTTCAAGGACGACGAGGACGCGCGGCGCCGCGGCGCGCGGCGCGTCCGCGTGCAGATCCTCGGCGCGCGGGGCCTCCGGCGCGCGCCGCGGTCGCCGCCGGCCGCGGCGCCCGCGGGGCTGACGGCCGAGGCCGCCAAGGCCACGCTCGGCGCCGCGGCGTCGTCCTTCTGGGGGCTGGCGAAGCGCCTCAAGGAGGGCGACGCGCCGCGGCTCGGCATGGACGACGGCGGCGACGCCGCGCCGCCCAACCCGCTCGTGCGGTGCCGCCTCCGCGCGGACGCGCGCGGAAGCGAGCCGCTGCCCCTCGGGCGCACGAACACGGAGTACGCGACCGAGAGCCCGAGCTTCGGCACGAACGCGCGCGCGAAGTCGGCCTGCGCGCACGCGAAGCCCTCGACGGCCTTCGAGGCCGCGGGCCCGCGGTGCCGCCTCGCGGAGGACGCGGGCGCGCCGCTCGGCGTCGCGCCGGCGCTCGAGTTCTACGCGCGCCGCGACGAGTGCGGCTCGGGGCGCGCCGTCCTCGAGTTCGAGGCCCTCGACGAGCGCTACGGCGTCGCGCGCGGCGTCGAGGCGCGACCGCTCGGCGCGTGCGACGTCGCGATCCCCGCCGTTTCGGCGGCGCCGCCGCCGCCGGCCTGGGTGCCCCTCGGCGCCGGCGGCGAGCTCTTTTTAGCCGTCCACGCGTCGTCGCTCGACGCCGAGGACGACGAGGGCCGGGCCGACGCGGCGTTCGCCGACGCGGAGCGGTCCGACGGCGCCGCGCCCGCGGCGCTGCGGGGCTGGCTCGGCGCCGCGGGCGTGGCCTGCGACGCGCTCGACGGCGGGCCCGTCGCGTCGCGGGACCCGGACTGGCTCGAGGCGCACGCGACGTCGCTGGCGCGCGACGGCGCGCGCCTCGCGCGCTTCGCGTCCGAGGCGCGCGACGGCGCGCGGGCCGCGCGGCGCGCGTTCAAGAGCTCCATGCGCAAGGGCGACGTCGAGGTCGCCGCCCTACCGACGAACTTGCACTGCTACGTCTTCCAGCGGTCGAGCGGCGCCGCGAAGGAGCTCTGGACGTGCGCGACGTCGGGCGCGCCGACGGCCGCGGCGACGCTCGGCGCGGCGCGCGGCGGCCTGCGGCGGCTGGAGCGGGAGCTGGGCCGGTCGCCGCGGGGCCGGGCCCTCGAGGCGCGCGCGGCGGCCTGCGCCGTGCGCAAGGCGCTCTGCGTCGCGCACGCGCTCTGCGTCGCCGGCGCGGCCGTGCGCGCCAAGGTCGCGGCGCTCGCCTTCGAGGGCGACGCGGCGGCGGCCGTTGGCGCCTGGCGCGCGCACGGCGTGCCCGTCGTGTTCCTCGCCCTCGTGTCGGCGACGGGCGCCGAGCTCGCCATGCTCGAGGACGCCGCGTCCGCGGCCGCGGCGCTCGAAGGGGTCCGCGTCGCGTTCGGCGCGGCGGCGGCCTACGACGCGGCGGCGCGCGTGCTCACGCTCGACGTGCCGGCCGGTGACGTCGACGCGCTCGGCCTCGGCGGCGCGCGCCTCGACCTGCGGCCGTTCCTCTTCTCGCAGGGTCTCGACGCGAAGCAGTCGCTCGCGAACTCGAGGAACGCGGTCCAGGAGTCGCTCACGCGCCTCGGCCGCGCCGTCGCGCCGCCGGCGGACGACGCCTTCGAGGAGACGGACGACGCGGCGGCGGCGCCGGACGCGCGGGAGATCCAGAACGCGCTGAACGTCGCCGCGCGCGACGGTTTAGCGGCGTACGCGGCGGCCGCGCTCGAGCCCCGGGCCGCGGCCAAGGCGCTCAAGTACCTCTCCAAGGCCGTCGACAAGGAGACCGCGTCCCTCGACTCGAAGACCTTCGAGAAGCACTGGCTCGTGTTGGTCGAGGCCGAGCGCGCCGCGCGCGCAATAGGCGGCGCGCTCTGCGTCTTCTGCAAGTCGGGCAAGGACCGCACGGGCATGGCCGTGACCCTCGCGGCGGCCATGTTCGTCGGCGAGGCCGCGACCGCGCCCGACGACGACGAGGCGCTCATGCTCGACCGCGCCAACGCGCTCCGCGAGCACGGCGTCCGCGTCCGCATCTGCGAGAAGAACACGGGCCGGAAGAAGTACGCCTTCAACGTCATCCAGCGCGAGTTCCTCCCCTACCCGTACCGCCCGCCCACGGCCACGATCGAGGACCTCCTCTCGTCCACGATCCACCGCGACACGTCCTGAGCGCGCGCGCCGCGTACGGGCGCGTTTTTGTCGAATTCGGGGTTCTTGTCTGCGAGAGGCCCTGCGACGCGCGCGGTCGCCGGCGCGGGGCGCGCCGCGTGGCGGCGCGACGGGCGCGGCGCAGCCTCGGCGCGGCCCGACCGGCGGACGTCGTCGTCGACGGCTGCCGCGGCGCCCGGCTGCGGCAGAGCAGCCTCTCCACACCGCCGGGCGGAGCCGCCGCGACGCCGAGCGGCAGCCGCCGCCGCCCTCCTCCTCGAGCCGCGCGGTCGCCGGGACGTCGCGGTCCTCGAGCGCGTCGTCGAGCGCCTGTTCTTCGACCGCGCGCGCGAAGTCCGCCTAGACGTCGCGCCTCCGTACGCCCAGGCTTCTCCGAGGAACGCCGGAGCGGCGCGCGCGAGAGGCCTCTCTCTAGAAAAAAAGGACGCGCCATGTCCGGCCTCTGGGGTCGACTAAGGAACGGCTCCGGCGGCGGCCGGCGGCAGCGGCGCGCGAACGAGGCGACGCGGGTCACGGGCG